TTCCCAAACCCTCGATACCCGCCCTCTTCGTCTTCGATCGAACCCCTCTTGGGGGGTATACCTTTCTGGCAAGCGGCTGGGCGGCCGCGGACCGTCGGCCTGGCCAGCGGCAGCGCTGATCGGCGGGGCGGCCGCGGACCGTCGACCCGACCCAAGAGGGACGGACAGGGGACCGACCATGACGAAACGACGACGACGACGACGACGACGACGACGAAGTCGACGACGACGGCGACGACGACGACGGCGACGACGAGCGAAAGCGAAAGCGAGAGAGAACGACAGCAGGGCCACGAAGGACACGAAGTAGGCCACGAAGGGCGACAGCGGGGACACGAAGGGAATGCGTATGGGGCCACGAAGAGCTCGAACGAGCGGGGGCCACGAAGGGCAGATAATGCGGGGCCACAGAAGGCAACTGGGCCACGTAGGACAGTGAAAGGGCCACAAACGGCGACAGCGGGGCCACGAAGGGCACGCACATGAGGCCACAACGGGCACGACTCCTGGGTGCTTGGGTGTCGGGAGCGCGGCGCTTGAGCAATTTGCAAGAAATTCCAACGCAAGGGCGCTATTCTTCAGCAAATTGCAAGCAAGTCTCCAGCGAGAGCGCGACTCCAGAGCGCCGGGAGAGCGATTCCTGCATAAATAAGGAAATCCTACGCGAGAGCGCGATTCCTGAATAACATGCGAGGAAGTCTGGGGCGGGAGCGGGGGTCCTGGCGAAATTGAAAAGAAGTCTCAAGCGGGAGCCGTTGTTGTTGTAACCCGGGGGCCACGGGCCCAGTTTGAGCATCAAGACTTTCCCTGTCAAAAAAAGGGTGCGAGCGTCGAGGGGCACACTTTGATTGAGAATAAACCGTATGCACCGGTGGGGGGGATCAACAATAAATATTCTTCAGACATGAGAATTCAACAACAACAACAACAACAACAACAACAACAACAACAACAACAACAACAGCAGCAGCAGCAGCAACAACAACAGCAACAAAATGCGTCGCCGCACGAGAGGGGCACTGCCGTTCGGATGAGGGCCGGCCGAGACAAACGCAGCCTTCCCTGGCGATGTTCGCCCTCTCTGGGGCTGCTCCGGAAGGCTTCTCGTCGCCGCTGCCGGGCCCCGCTTCGGAAAACGGGGATGTTTTGCGGGAGAGGCGCCGCTGTCTCGAGTGGCCCTCCCCCGACATCTGCACTCCGCCGCCACCACGCCTGCACGGGGCCGCCCCGTGCCCTGGCACGGGGTGCGTGCCACCTCCCCGTCGACGGCAAGGGGGCGTCGGTGCGTGCGACGGCGCCAGGCACGGTGGCGTGCGGGTGCCTTCCGCTCGCGCGCCCGGGGCCCAGAACGGCCCGGGCGTGCTGGCCCGGGCCTGGGGCCGGGTGCCCGGGAGCCCGCGCGCCTCCTCGGCGCTCGGCCCTCTCGCGCGGCCGCGTGCGCGGGCCCTCCGCGACCCGGCAGGTGGCCTCCGCAGGCTTCGCGCGTGAGGCCAGCCACGTCTGTCTCGAGCCGTCTGCCGCGGCCTCCGCCATCTCCGCCTCCGCCCTCTCCGCCGCCGCCGCCGCCGCCCTCGCCGCCGCCGCCCGCGCCGCCCCAGCAGCCCCCGCCCGCGCCCTCGCCGCCCCCGCCGCCCTCGCCGCACATCCGCCTGCTCGCCGAGCGCCGCGACGAGGGGTCCGGCGGCGGCGAGGGCGACGACCAGAATAGGGTGAGGGCTCGGGAGTCGAGCAGTTGGCACATGCGGGATGAAGGGACACCCGTGGAAGAATTGAATGCCGCGGCGGGCTCGCTTGCACGCACGGCGCGCCACCTGCCGAGGAAGCGCCATCGCTGAGTGCGCTTGCGTGCGAAGGCCCGGAAGGAACAGGCAAGCTCGAAGGCGGACGAGCTGCGTACGTCCAGACGCGGCCGAGCTACCACCCGTTTGGTTTAGAGCATTCGGCCACGTGTGATCGTCGGTTTGCGGATAACGCTCTCCCAACGGGGGCTCGACGGAGAAACGCTTGTGGCCCTCAAGGGATGGGTCCCATCGGCACGGCCGGACGCCAGTCCAACAGCGAGGAGGTCGGAGGGCGAATTGGAGCGGCGTGCAAGGACGAGCAATCGTTTTCCAGTTCTCTTCCAGGACGTGCGAATGCGCAGGTGGAATTCTGTCTGCATATATCTGAACCCAGTTGCTTGCGGCAGGCTTCGACGCCGTGCTGGCGCAGCCTCGAAATCCACGCTGGGTGATTCTACCGAGCTCTCCTGACCAGGCTCGGTGGGACAGCCTCGGATCTCGGGTCTATCTAGAACGCAGCGCTGCGATGTGGTAGCGCGTCCAGGCGGTATCAGCGCATGGCTGTCGCGTTGCGCCTCGGGGAGCAATTGAGCTTAATCAGGGGCAACGCTAGGGGGTGGGATAGGCTCAGGGGGGGAGTGCTTCGACCCCCAATCGCCCATGAATCGCCGATAGGGGCCAGATAGCCCACCCCGCCCAGGAACGTGCGGATTCATTGTCGGGGGCCTATCGCCGATCTATCGGCGATGCATCACCAGAATCAGCTCGATGACTTCGCCCCCCCCCCCCCTGAGCCGGTCACCCCCCCCTAACGCTCCCTCATTTTAGGAGTGCCTCCCTCTTGGAAGCTTGTTGGTGGTCTTGGGTTGGGCGATGGTATCACCGAGCTCTCACCAAGGTGCGTTGTTTGACCATCGTAGGGCCGTCTGGGCGAGTGCACCTGCCGTTTTGCAGCGTTCTTGAAGCGGTCTTGGCCGATGTTGAAAGGTGATCGGAGCGTGTTGGGGCCAACTTGGGCCCTGGCACTTAAGAGTCTTCCAAACCCTCCAATATTGGATATCTTAATATCGGGTGAACATTTTCGGCACGAAGACACTTCACTCTCGGGCGCAAGTTCCGTAGCAGTTCTGGCTCAAACACGGCTTGCTCAAAGCCCGACCTTCTCGCAGCAATCTTGTCCATCCCCCCCACTACTCAGTAGATAGCTTGCTTGTTTTGCATGGAGCATGCTAAGCGCAGCTTGACAGGGCATACGACGGTTGCTGAACTTGGCAGGGCCTACGACGCGAGCTATTTGCTCACCCTCCTCACTACCAGTAGAACTTCAAGAATGGCGTTGGCAATGGCTTCGGGTGACGTGCGCAAGGCGCTCATTACCGAATTATCAGCTTCGGCCCGAGGTTCGCTCTCAAACACGTCACGAGCGTTCTGCCACATTGTGTCTATCGAGTATAGCTGCGCTCCTGCCATCGACCTCGCACGCACAACGGTGAGCGATGCATGGGTGCGCCGCGTGTTCACACAGCGCACCTGCGTACAATCGCTGGATATTTCTTGTTGCCCCCTGCTGACACATGCAGGTTTCCTCAAGATTGCCGCGTTCTGCCCGCACCTCCAGTGTCTTCGTGTCGCCACTTCGTCCTGGCTCACAGATCAGAGTCTCAAGCTGGTTGCACGTCGCTGCACCGGCTTGCACGAGCTCGACATTTCGGAGTGCCCGCGATTGACTCATGTGGCGCTTCAAGACATTGCACAGCATTGCAGTAACTTGACGACGTTGACAGCATCATGCAGCGTGATTGTTACCCGTTGCTTTCTTGACCTGCTGGAAAATTGCAAAAGTCTCCGCAAATTTATCGTCATTGACAAAGACCGCACGCTGTCCGTCAAGTCTCGAACCAAGATGTTCCAGCATATGGCCTTGTATGGCCACTGCCTGCGTGAGCTGTCGCTTGTCAACTTCGGTACTGTATCGCACACCAGTGATGCAGAGGCACTCAAGCAGCTTGCGACGAGCAATGATTCCCTGAACGAGCTTAGCCTAGACTGCGAAAACTACGCGCATTCGGACGCTGTCCTCAGAAGCCTGGCACAGGTGATCCAAATCAGCCGCAATATACGGTTGCTGGACCTCCAGGATTGCATGTCTGAAGCCGCCCTCAGTACCCTCTTGCGGCATTGCCCTACGCTTCGTCAACTACGCCTCCGCCATACCGCTGTAACGGACCCCGGGATGAAGTCCGTTGCGGAGTATTGTCCTGAACTTTCCGAGCTTGAGCTTCGCCATGGCACTGTGACCGATGTCGGCATCGAGGGGGTCGCCCAAGGGTGTTGGAAACTCAACGTGTTTTCCCTGAATTGCCAATGTGTGACTGAGTATGGCATCAAGGCCTTAGGGCACCACTGCAGGGACCTGACAGACATTTGCATATTTAGCGACAATCAATACAGCGACGCTTCTGTCGAGTGCGTCGCTCGGCATTGTCCGAGTCTCCGCTCCGTTATGCTCAAAGGCAGCTCTTTCTTATTTGGAGACACCGGGCTGAAAGGTGTTGCTCAACATTGCAGGTACCTGCAGAAATTGGGATTAAGAAGTCAGCACGTGACAGATCACGGATTGCAGGCGATTGCAGAGGCTTGTTCTGCTCTCAGGGAGCTTGACGTGGACCAGTGTGGTGCGCTCACAGATATTGGTTTCAAAGCAGTAGCAAAGTGCTGTCCTGCTCTTCGTGTGCTGAAGTGTGGACAAGGCCACCAGGAAGACGAGGATTGCCCAAGGCTTTCCAATGTTGGATTGCAGTGCCTTGCACGAGGGTGCCCTCATCTGGAAACGATCGACATGGACCGAAGGAGTCCACACACCAAAGAGCTGGCGCTTGAATTTCAAGCAGGTGTGACTGATGAAGCATTGCGCTCGCTTGCATTTTTTTGTCCAGCACTGAAGCAGTTGGATTTCGCAGGGTCGACTGGTCTCACAGATGCGGGATGGAAAGAGATAGCCCAACATTGCAGACGTTTACAAACAATACTGCTCACTGGCCCCGCGTGGGTCTCAGCGGAATCTCTATTTGTTTACGCAGACCATTGCCATTTTTTGCAAAAGTTAGACATCAGTGAATGCGGTGCAGACTTGGATGCTGGTTTACAAGCCATCGGTGTGAAATGTTTCTGTCTCAAGTGGTTGCGAGTCTATTTTTGTGACTTCGTCACAGATGCTGGAATTTCTTGGGTGATGGAGCGGCCGCCGGGCTTGCCCTGCTGTTACGCATGGGGGTGCCAAGGCATCTCAGTAGAGCTGAAGGAGCGGCTGACCGCCACCACGCTGAGGCTACAGGGATGTATCTCCGATGAGCTGTCGAGCGAAGGTGGTATGTATAGCATTGGTGAAGACAAGCTGGCGTGGCGGTCCGTTTAGCCAGGCTGGCGTGGCGGTCTGCTTACCTAGGTCCATACAGCAAGTTCACAGGATGGCTTGAGCGATTGGGTCCTGCGGGAAACAGGTCACAGACCCCGAGGCCTTCCCCGGGACCGGCCTGGCATCCCCGGTCCTGGGAAGGGCCGCGAGGAGCTGGAAACGGCTTAACAAGTCGGGGGTTCTGACCCTCGGGGCCTTCTTGTCTTCATGGAGACGTGTCCAGGACCAGGCTTGGTCAGAGACGCAACCAGGGTGAGCCAGACAGCAGCCCTTACCGCGCGGATTTCTCGGATCTGCGCTGGAACCCCCTGGAGGCGCTTGCCTTGTCGCGCTCCTCGCGCCAGGGGGGTTCAGCGCAGATCCCAGAAATCCGTGCGAACCTCGCGCAGACCTCCACAAGTGTATGTTTAGGCACATCCTATCGCAACACGCTATTCCTCACGCTTCGCGTATCCTCACCAGCTCTTAGTGCCTAGTTTAGATCTTGGCGCGGCTGCCTCGTTTCTGGACGGCGCGCGGTTGGACCGCGACGCTAAAGAACAAAAAAGTATCCCCACCAGCCTTCCGCCCGGTGGTATTCATTCTGGCTTCGTTGAGCCTGGTGAGGCACCCTGGCGTCCAGGTGACTTGCACGTCGACCAGCTCTGGCTAGAACGCTTGCGTTCCCCTGGCCTCGGGTCCTCAGACACCGCCACAGCCTGGCTGTGTCTGCAGCTGCCGCCTGCATGGTGGGACGCGTCCCCACGTGGATTGCTCAGGAGTGGTTCAGCCCTCTCAGTACGCTGGACTGCTTGCGCAGCCCCGCGCTTTGCCACGGTCGGTGACACGTCTACCTGTGGCGCCCGGCGCGACAAGGAACAATTCGTTCGTCTTCCCGGTGCTCTCGCCCCTGGGATGGCTGCACGTCGGCCGTCTGGCTCTCCTGGCAGCTCCCGCAGCCTGCCTTCAGCCCCTGGCGCCACTCAGCATCCCTCGGCGGCAGCCTTGGCAGCCGTGAGTGCGCTCGCTGTGTAATTAGGCTCCGCCCGCTTCCCGGGTCGACCTTTGACGCCGCCTGCGCCTTCGCTTGCGGCTGCGACCAAAAAAAACATCCACACCAGCCCACTCAGAAACGTTGCCAGTGAGAGCCGAAGGGAAGCGGAAGGAAGAGGCACATCAGCTGAAACAAAGCGGGCAAACCAGGGTGCATTGAGCGATCTCTGGGAGCAAGGGGGTGGCCTTGGAAGGCTCCTTCTGGCCATCTCTGGGGTCTCTTCGGGCCATCTCTGGGGCCCATTGGCGGTCCTGGGCGGCCTCTGTGGGTGCCTACTTTGGTGCCTGCTGGAGCCTGTTGAGGGCCGGTTGGAGGCCTCTTGGGAGCGTTGGAGGGCTTGTTGGGCCATTTTGGAGGCCATCGATCAAAGAAGGAGGGGTTATTGATTGAACCCCCCATTCAAGAGCCATCAGCATCGCCTCTTGGTGCCCTCATTGGGCACTATTGGGGCCGTCTCGGAGGCTTCTCGGGCACCCCTT